GTTGAAGCACTCACCATCTCCTGAGGTAATTGGTTCCACTGTCACACTGCTCTAACAGTTAGGACGTTTTTCCTGATATTCAACCAAAATCTGATTGCTTGGTCAGATTGCTGCATGTTCTGCACTCAGGGATGACTGAGAACAGATCCTGCCCTTCCTCTGTATGACAGCCTTTCAAGTATGTTGGTGTAAGTTAGCAGAATTTTGTTTTTATCCAGGCAGTCCAGTTGAATCACACAAAGACAGCTATTTTTGTATTATGTATGTAAATGACTTTGAGAATGGATTATTCTAAATGTTACATGAAAGAAACAAAATGTTCCAGAAACATGTGAACAAGCACACTCAGGCACCCATGCTTAATATTCCTATAATATCCTTCATTGGACATGCATGTTGTCTCCAGTCCTGCCACAATTTTTACTATCTCTGATGAAGAGGAAGAAAATGGTGTGAGTTGGCATTAGTTACACATTATATCAAACTATATATTTACTAGTATTTATTCCTCTCCCCCTCTAACTCCAGAAGATTATCTGTCTGGTACAGAATATAATTCCAGTGTGGCTCTAATTTCCCTTGATTTGCACATGTACTTACCACTTTCAAAGTCTGTGAGGCATGAGCCAGGCCCACTGGACTAAATCCACTTGTTAGTCACAACTAGAGTAGACCCATTGAATCAGTGGAAATTACATAAATGTTGACTTACCAAAGTTGCATTGAATCAATGGATTTAATCTGTTTGGGAACAGTGAACCATCAGATTTAGCACATCAAAATCAGTTGGTCTGAAGTTATTCATGATCTAAATTCCATCAACATCAATGGGTCTGCTCTTAAGAATGATTAAGTTTGGATCCAGCCTATGGTTTTCAATATATATGCTCATCCATACACATTCAGATACATACATGCATTCTTTATTTTCACTAACATGTCCCTAAATGAAAAACAGTCTAGTGTAACCATCACATTCTAGTTACTTTAAACACATTAATGCAAACGGATATTTACAGATATGTTTGGGACCAGACTTCGTCATAATAAAAGCTGCACACTTCAACATAACTTCACCACAAGTCATCTTTGGGTCCTTTCTAAGGAGGCATACATGCATTCTTTATTTTCACTAACATGTCCCTAAATGAAAAACAGTCTAGTGTAACCATCACATTCTAGTTACTTTAAACACATTAATGCAAACGGATATTTACAGATATGTTTGGGACCAGACTTCGTCATAATAAAAGCTGCACACTTCAACATAACTTCAGCACAAGTCATCTTTGTGTCCTTTCTAAGGAGAAAGGTAGGGTTAAAATATTTTAAATAAATAAATAAAAAGTAATCACAGTCTGCATTTAAAAAGTGAAGATGGTCTGACTGTATCAACTAAACTTAGGGAACTCATGTCAGATTAATACACAGGGTGGTATCTTGCAAATAAAAGATTAAATCGACTAAATATTGCAATATGTCCTAAGAGCTGGAAAGGCTGTCAAGGGTTATGTCTCATATTATCACATGTGGTTCTTGTGTCCCAAGGTTCAAAATTTTTGGAACTCTTTTTTTTTACAGATGGGGAAATTCAATTCAATTAAAAAAGAAAAACCAGTTAGCCCCCGACTTAGTTTGCTCATGTTGTTTCAAGAGCAAAATACAAACATGATACATAAACAACTGATCTCAATTGTGTCCTTAGCTGCCAAGCTAGTTATTGCAGCACATTGGAAGGGCATGAAAGATGCAACCATTTCCCCTTGGTATGTCAAAATCTGGTATTTAGGGCTCATGGAAAAGCTAACTGTTCAAGTCTGGCTCTATGAGGAAGTTGCAGTGGCAAACAGTTTTACAAAACCTCACACCCATCTATAGACTATGTAAATTCAAACAAAGAGATAACTTCATCTCCTGCATCACATGCTGATATGTGGAAAGACTTAGTTGAACTGGCACTCTTTACAATTCTTTGATATCAGTCTGTAAGTTTGTTATTGTATGAACTGAATGTTATGTACAGTACTGTTTTTGAAAGCAACAAAAATAAATAGTCTGAACGGCTAAGAACTGTTATGTGTAAAACACTAGTTATAAAGCTATACATGGAAGTTTACTACTCTGTTAACAATTCTGTTCTAACGATCTGTCTCTGATGCTGACCAGTTCACTCAGCTGCAGGAAGGATACCGTACTGTTGGAAAAACTAAAAGGCAGCCTTCATGAAAGATGACGTGAGTCAACCATGAAAAAGCATAGGCTTTCTAGGCTATTGCATTTAACTTCAGGATGGAAACTCCTCCCAGTGACTAGGCTAGTATAATTGAAGCTCTTCACAGTCCTCATTTCCTGTGCTTCTGTCAGGCTGTTGTTTACATATTCAAACATTGTGTAATCCTGGTACATGCAATTTTTTAAATAACGTATCACTCTTGTAAATCTAGTGTTAGCATTAGTGGATTTCATAAGGCACCGGCCTTTCAAAATACTAACTACAGAAATCCTGTGAACACTTGCATGTGAGTTAAGTCCTGTAGACCTTAATGGGACTAAGTAATTATCCATATGATTGGCTGAAATGGCCTGTTTATGAAAGAACCTATCACATTTTCCAGAAGAAAATAAATCATGCATGAGTAAGCTGTTTGGGTTTCTTTTTAATCACAGCCAGTGTTTTTTTTTAAATGGGAGCAGGCATGTTAATTCATATTTAGCTAAATCATGCACTAATGTACTCTGTGAGCTGTTAAATATACAGATCCTAAGATTAGTTAAGTTTCAGAAGTTAAAATACAAATATATATTTTTGATTGTGACTTTCCAGTGAAAGCAAGCCTGCAAATTTTTACCACTGAAATTGGGGCACTTTGTTAAACATATACGTTTTGAATGGTTTTCTTTAATATTTACAAAAATTCTATAGGTTGGAGTTAAACTTCATTTATTTCTTATAATTCAAGGAGCAAATATAGTGGTATCTCTTTTCCTCCAGAAAACAGAAACACATCTGGTTTAGATCATAAATGGGAAAAATAAGTAAATTATGAATGAAACTTTTGCACTGAGTTCATCAGGCCATGTATATATTTTCCATGATTCGAGTGAAATAAAGGATAACACAGACACAGCACGTATTTGTTAAGGGTATCAAAAACAAGACTATGCATACTGAGCTGAGGAAACATTAAATGGAAAAACACCTTTACACTACGGTTGTCATCCTGGTGTACCAACTTATCACACATGATGTGATTACACTTAAGAGCTATCACTTATACTCAAGGTCTAGCAACAGTGGAATTCTAGACCAAAATAATTAAATATAATACAAGTGTAATATATTATATCAGGGTAAGTCACAACATACAAGAGCCACTGAATGATCTGCACTGCAAACCCAGAGCCAACTGCATACACATTTGCCAGAAAATACCTCCATTTTCATTCATGACAGCCCTCAAGAGCTCCACTCCTGTTGATTAAACAATTGTCTGTCCAAAAGTATGACACAAATAATCTATGCAGAGGACCATCTAGTTGACTTTGCACAACACCTAGATTCGATTAGACAGAAACTGTCTTCAGTATTTTTGCTGAGATTACTCCAGCACAATTATATCCAACCTGCTGTAACCAAATTGCTTTGAAATGCAAATGTTGATAAATATTGACTGAATTTTACTTCCTATTTCTTTCTGGTGCATACACTGGCATTCTCTTAATAGCAAACTGTTTGTTTTTTATATCTGGATGGGAAGGAGGTTTAAGCAGTACAGGAGGCAATGCTCTTAAATCACCATCCCTGTGCAAAAAGTGTCAAGTTGCAATGATCAAAAGTTTCTCCAGAAAGCTACAAGGGGAAAAATTCTTTGGAAACTATTCTGTATCTGTGTGCCAGATTTCAGTGGAGAGGAACTTGCCACAGTTCTGTAATGAACTCTTCTAAAAAGGGGACATGGTCAGGCACAGAAAGAATTTTTATCTGAGTTGTGTCTGCTATTTAACTGTTTTACATACAGGCAATTTCTGTCCTTTTGCTGCCAAAATCAGTTAAAGTATGTAGCAATCTTTTCCCTCTCTGGAGCACGTTATGTTGCTTGCTAAATATAAACCACAGACCATGTTTGTCTAAACGTATTTGTAGTTCAACTAAACTGGACCCCTTTTCCTGAAGCTTACTCATGTCAGTTTTTTACAGCAGAAAAGCAGACTGTTGTGGCATCTTCATAATTGATGACCTCATCTTCTGCAGACTACAGTTCACTTTGCCAGTATATTTTTAAAAGGCACCTTTCCCAACAGGAAACATTGGCCTAAATTTCAGGAGGATGCTAAACCCGTGCCTAGACTAGACAACTGCCAGTTGCGGTGCTCACAGGACCAAATGCTGCTTCATACAAGTACCTCTCCATTTTTCCAGGCAGAAATCTAAACATCAAGAAAAAGCCTTGCATTTTACCTTCTCACTAACATGCTGATTTTGTAGAGGATTTCAGTGGAGACATATACAACCGGGCGCACCTTCCGCCCAACACTTGAAGGGATATAATTGAAAAATAAGTTTGCTGCACCAGTCAGAACCCCATTAGGAGAACCTGGGAGAGAGATTAGCACTCAGTTTGCCAACAGGTGAAAGGGAGAAAAAGAGAGAAAGAGGGATCCCAGACAACAAGGAAAGGGAGAGGAAAATGTCTGTCGTCCTCTCTATCATTCGCGCCCGCCAAAGTTCCAAGAAACCAACTAGAGAAAGAACAACAGGAGCCTCGAGTATGTCCACATCTGGCCAAGCGGGGGCCAAAGTTAAGGGAAGACAAAGGAAACCCTTCTACTGATCTCAGACTGGTGTGCCTCAGGACGGACATCCTTTCCGTTCTGGCTCTCTCCGTTGGTGTTGTTTTTTTTTTTAAAAAAAATCTCGCAACAATGCCCAGAATTCAGCCTCTGCCTCCCGACCCACACCCTCCTCCTCCGTCCCCGCCCGTCTTTTCCTCGCTACTCACTCCAAGCAGACACACTTTCAGCTCTCGTATCGCCATCATCTGTTTGGGGCATAGAGGCTTCGCATCCTTTGGAGGAGCCAATCCCCCAGACTCTCCCGCACTCCCAACCTCCACGAAACCGAGAAAGCAGCTGCGGCTATTTCTGGGCAGCCCCAGCCCTCGGCAGCCGCCGGCGGTCACATGAGCACAGCCGCGCCGGCGGCCGCAACTCCAGCTCCTCCTCGCGTCTTTTTGGTGCTTTCCTCACCCAAACCCCACACGTATGAAATAAGCTGCGCTTCAGCATATTTTAGGATACGCGGTTTCCATTCTCTGGGGCAGCGACTGCCGCTCGAGTATTTCCAAGCAGCGAGACGCAAACCTGGCCCCTCACAATGGGAGTCGAGAGTTCCCGCCCATTCTTCTCCTCATACATTCCTCCGCGTTCAATATTCCAGCGGGACACAGAGGGAAAGGAAAGGGGACGAAAAAGAAATGTATCTGGATTTCCAAATTAAACACAGTTATGTATTTTTAAAAGTTAAACCCCTAAATTCTTAAATTTTATTTTCATGATGCAGTCAACTCTGCCTTATTCAGGAGACTTTAGAAAGGACCAGATGTTCCCTTCTTTGGGTAACCCTGCTATGTTTTCTCATTGCTTCTTCTGGTTTCTTCGCGCCCCCCAACATAAAAATCTATCAAGGAGATTGGAAGCATTCATCTGGCAGAAAATGTTCCAAGGCTGCAATAAACTCAGGGCGCAACTGGATAGGTATTCTGTTTGTGCCATGGTCCCTTGCTGTTCTTTCCTATATTTATTTCATACAGTTTTAGTGCTGTGAGCAGATCTGATCTTTAGGTGTGAGCATGCTAATATATATTTTGTTCGGCAAGCATAATGGATTGTGGTTCTTTGTAGCATTTCCCATTATATTATTTTGTCTTGCTTTTGGCTTCTGCAGTTGCCTATATCAGTCTTTCCGGGCAGCGGCTGGAGATGTCCACATAACATCTGAAATTACAAGGTCTACAAAACCCATTTTAATAAGTCAGGGAGGAAGCTAAGTACATATCCCAGAGAAAGGCATCACAGGATGCAACTAACACAGAAAAGGCGCTACTCTCTCAGACTTGTCAACCTAATTGATTTTCACTTGGGGGGAGGAGGGGAGGACATGTGGGTTTGGCATTTGTGGCCAAACCTTAGAGAATTTTGCATAGTTGCAGGAAGTTCTTCAATTAACCTGGCTGCAAGTTGTTCAGAACTCTTAAAGGCAATCAGCACTAATTTGACTCTAGAATACACTGTCACCCAGTGCAGCTATAACAAAATAATTATTACACCTATGTATTAGCTCTATAAGCAACTGGGCAGCTGTATTCTATACCAGCTGAAGCCTTCAAATAATTTTAAAGGTTGCTCTACATGAAGTACATTAGCACCATTCTTTTCTAGGTATCACCAGAGTAAGGTCTAGTTTCTCTAATCTGGAGTATAGCTGGCAAGTCAACTGAAGCTAATTAAAAACACCCTAATGACTGCCACCATCTGTGACTGCATAGATAGCATCACATCCAAAAGAATTCTGCAAGCCACATGGTTGGCTCTTAATGGGAAGTGGAACCCAATCTAAGACCATTGTCACACATGTACCCTTACTCGCAATATTTCCATCTAAAATAAATTAAGCCTTATCTTATGTGCCCTTACCCATTCCCAAATAACTTTGTCACCTGATGAGGGTTTTTGCAGCTTCCTTTGAACTGAGAGGCAGAAATGGGAAATGGAACTGTGTGTTGGCTGTATACTGTTGACATTTCAATCAAACAAATGTCCCAATGCTTCCCCTGGGGTTCACAAAGACATTAAAAAAGCATATAATAGTGTATTCCCACACCCTAGTCTACCAGGTTTCTCAAAAGAATACTCAGAATCTGAGGGAGGAGAAAGTGAAAGGCATAGGATGAATATGTGGCCCAAGTGTATCCAAAATACATGTACAAAACACTAAAGCATATATCTCCTGCTAGAACAGAAACAGAAAATATTTGGTGCACTTTCAAGAATGTAACAATCAGAAGTGGGGTTTCTAGAAGAAAAGACTGGGTCAGAAACAAGAAGATTACTATACTGTATCAAGATTTAATGGAATGCTCCCATTCTCTCTTAATAACCAGAGAAATTGGTCCAATTAGTTTCTGCACCTGATTTTTACAAACCACATATTTCTTGGGTAAGCTTCTACAGATATATGTCAAAGTAGTCAATAAAAAGGAGGCATAGGCTACAGTCTGCAAAAATTAAGGCATAATCACACTTCTTCCTCGATAGCTCTCAAGCTATTTTAACAGTTACCCTGGAATTTGTGATGTGTGAGTTATATCTGTGTTCTATACAAGGAAATCATTTTACTGATAGTCTTATAGAGGCTTAGATACCTTACAGATCAAAAGCAAAAAACTTTATAATGTAGTATAAATATTATTCTAAACAAAAGCATCAAATCTGATAAATGAGTGGCACTGAGGCAAAAGTCTGGGTCAAGCAAGATAAGCAAACATAAGGACAATCTTCTTTATATACGCATTCTTATAAAGAAGAAAAAGTACAGACATTTACTTGAGTTATAAACAGTTTCTGACCCGTTATGTTCCAGGAACCACCACAACAATTTGTCTGCATTCAAAGAGCTGTGGTTAGAGAAACATTTCTGAGGAATATGTCATACTGCAGTATGTTTAAAGCAGAAGAAAAACAACTCAGGGCACTCCTTCCTCCTCTGTCTCCCCAACTCTATTTTACAGCTCAGTCAAGCAAGGACACACTGTTTTGCATTTTCCTTATGTAAACAAAATATAGGATATTCAACTATAACTCAAGCAAATAACAGCATAATAAGCAGGGTAGACAGTATAGCTCAGTGACAGAACACATATATTGCATGGAGAAGCTCCATGTTTCAGTATTTGTTATCCAAACTGAAAGGACCACTTGTAGCAGGAATCAGAGAAAAAAACACTACCAGAGACCATTAGAGACATTGATAATTAAAATGAACAATACTGGGCTAGAAAGACCAATGTTCCAAATGTTACTGTAAATCAGGGTCTCCAACTACAGCCCATGGGCCACATCCAGCCCTCCTTGCCATTTTATCCAGCCTATTCCCTTAACCCTGTGCGAGGGTGTATGTGTATGTGTCTTCAGCCCTCTAAGATCTTGAAAGTATTCAGTGTGGCCCTCAGGGTAAAAAGTTGGGAGACAGGTTGGTTTGTGGTATAAGGGACAAAAAAAAATGCAACTTCGATTGTTTACAAGGAAGAGTCTGGATTTTAAAACAGCTTATGAGGAGATTTTAGCTGAAGAAACTACACAGAAATTTACAAAAGAAATTCAACAGGAAAAGGCTCTTCCACTGTTTAGTAAGTCGGAAAGTGTCCATCAAGGGCAGTGGGAGGACTCCTCTTTTAGGGAGGAGGAGGTAGAAGCTGTAATGCGAGTCATCCATCAGAGAAGCCAGGGAGTAAAAGTACCACCAGAAAATCTGTGTGGCAGTTGTGGCAGGTCCCACCTGAGGAAGGCGTGTTAATTCGGGAATGTACAGTGCCAAAGGTGTGTCAAGGTGAGGCATATTGCTCGTGCCTGTCGTGCTGCCCCTTACTCGAGAGCAGCAGAAAGGGGGAATCGTCAAGTGACTTGGGCATCCAGAAAGGGCTACAATCAGCAAGGCGAGTGTCACACCCTTTCCTTGCTTTCTGTTGAACTGCCAGAGATTAAAGGAGACAGCTTTGTGATTACTTTTCAGCCATCAATTCAATCAAAGATCAGAGTGACTGTAAGAATTCAGGATGTGCCCTGTGAAATGGGGGTGGACACGGGTTCTGCATTGTCTATCACTGCAGACCAGACACTCCAGCAGATTTGTCCTAAGGGGTGGAAGCACAAATTGGAGCCATGTGATGTACTTCTTAAGGATTTCCAGAGCAATCAGGTTCCTGTGCTGGGGATGGGCACCTTTCAAATAGCCTATAAAGACTTCAGGGGGCTATTATGTGGGGTAGTGGCAAAAGGGCAATCACCAAGCCTACTGGGATTGGAATGGTTTGACCCATTGGGCATCTATATTTCTGGTATTCAACAAATCACGCATGTGGATGTTACAGCTGTGTGTAAGGAGTTTGCAGCAGTCTTTAACAGATCTTTGGGGAGTTACACTGGGCCACCTATTTTGTTTAATTTGAATCCAACAGTGTCCGTTTAAAGGCACATCGGGTTCCATTTGCCCTTAAGCCTAAAACTGATGAAAAAGTGGATCATTTGATAGCTTAGGGGGTCCTAGAGGCAGTGCCCCATGCTCGATGGGGGACACCTATTGTTACTCCTCTTAAGGCATATGGGACCATGTGGATTTGCGGCGATTACAAATGTACAACAGCATGCATACCCGGTGCCAGTAGTAAGTCATCTTCTGGCATCGCTGAATGGTGGAAAGATATTTGCAAAGCTTGATCTGGCCCAGGCTTATCAACAATTACCAGTAGATGATGCCACTGCAGTGGCACAAACAATCATAAGACATAGGGGGGCTTTTAAGGTAAAGCAATTACAGTTTGGTATCAGTGTAGCCCCTGGGATATTTCAAGGCATTATGGGAGGCCTCTTGAGAGGGTTGCCAAGTGTCATTTCATATTTTGATGACGTTTTGGTAGCTGCAGGTTGTGTGGCTGAACTAGCTGAGCAACTCCGTATGGTGTTAAGTAAACTTCAGGCAGCAGGTTTGAAGGTTAATCAGGAGAAGTGTCAGCTTGGAGTCCCACAGGTGGAATTCCCTGGACTCCTGATTGACACTACTGGTATTCATCCTACCTCAGAAAAGGTGCAGGTTATATGTAGTGCATCAGAGCCTACAATAAGAAAGGAATTGCAGTCCTTTTTGGGGCTGTTGAATTTTTATCACGCCTCCTTACCTCATTAGGCATCAGTGGCAAAGCTGGTATATAGCCTTTTAGAATCATCCACCCCCTGGAATTGGGGCAGGAAGGAAGCTAGGGCTTTTAGGGCAGTTAAGGAGTTGTTGTCCTCAGAAAGTGTTTCGACACACTTTGATGAGAAGAATCCACTTCTTCTGGCTGCAGATGTCTCCCCGTATGGAATTGGGGTGGTCCTTAGTCATAAAATGCCAAATTTTGGTCAGAAGGCACCTACTGCTTATTTTTCACGGACTTGTCACCAGCAGAGCGTAATTATGCTCAAATTGACAAGGAAATTTTGGCTATTGCAGCTGGGCTTAAGAAATTTCATGATTACTTGTACAGGCAGCATTTTGTTATTATTACAGATCATAAACC